AGCATGAAAAGATGTTGGAAAGAATACCACACACGACATTCCTGTCTTGCCATCTCCACCCCCACCTCCATTCCCAAACTGTAAATCCCAAGGGCTGTCCACAGGAGGCCCAGGGGGATAGGGGGCTATTTACTAGAATGCCCACTATTGTGCTCACATTCAGGTATAGGGATTCATTAAAAATCCCACCCTGGCCTTAAAATGAATAAAATAAAAATGCATCCCTCACACTGTAAGGGATATGTCACAATTTACATTCAAAATGTCCTAAATAAGATTGAATAGCACTGTAAGCAGTTCTGTGACAGAGTGGGTTACACACTGAACTAACCACAAGGTCAGCAGTTTGAACCCACCAGCCACACCCAGTGAGGAAGATGAGGCCATCTGCCCTGCAAAGGTTGTTGTTGTCTTAATCTCAGAAAAACAAAGGAGGACGTTTACTCTGGCCTACAGGGTCTTTCTGAGGAGAAATCTACTCAATAGAAGTGAGTTTTTCCACCCTTCTATGGCTTTGTGCAGGTGATAAAAATATTGTACAAGAAAGTATGTCCCAGAGCAGTCAGACCCATGGAAGGACGTCAACCCAGCACCTTTAGACCCTTGAATAACCATGCTACTTCTTTTACCTAGTCTACAGCAAGTCAAATTTTCTTCAAGCTCCAACCTTTGAGTTTTCATTTTTTTTAAAGATTTATCTCACACACAAAAAAAAATTCTCCACTGGTTGCTTATTTAATAGTCATCGCTGGAGCTATAATTAGCTCTGTGATACAGGTGTTTCATAGCCACTTTTTCTTAATATGGTGAAGCCTGACATTCTATTCTGCATAATGTTATCAAGTACTAGCAAAATAATCAATTCTCTAATTGCTTTTTCAAAAAGGTAGTCTTAGCAGAGTAGGCGACTCTCAGCAGGGACTGCTGTGTTATGGAAACAATGAAAAGCATCATGTTCTGCATCCTATCATCTTGCAACCTCCAGAGCAGTGGCTGAACGTCTGGAAGGTTTGTCTAGTGTAAGGGCAGAGGCTCAATGTGCAGGCTTCTTGAGTTCAAGTTCCAACCCTGCCAATCACTAGGGTCATTCATTTCCCTTCTCTTGCAGAGTCTTGGTTTAATAATCTCAGCAAGGAGGCACCACCACCTACTTCAAAGGGCATCAACATCAAAGGAGATATGGCAAAGTATCCAGGGTGGTGCTTGGTTCATGCTAAGTGCGGCCCAGCTGAGCTTCCTCCTGATGCCTGAATCCAAACTGACGGTGAGCTGGAGTCAGCCGAGGTGAGATGGGGAAAGCAGATTAACAGCAGATTTAAAGGTCTGGGCTTGATTTCAGAGTCTGAGAGCTATTTAAATAAGTAGTTGTGACACCTTGTGAATTGCAGTTCAGAAATCTCTGGGCACACCGGGAAGGAAGGCTAGGCAAAGGTACGGAGCAGAGGAAGGGAACACAGGAGGCTGTTGAAGTAATCTACAACAGTGGTTCTCAACCTTCCTAATGCTGCAACCCTTTCCTACAGTTCCTCATGTTGTGACGACCCCCAACCATAAAATTATTTTCATTGCTACTTCATAACTGTAATTTCGCTACTGTGAAGAATCATAATGTAAATATCTGATATGTAGGATGTATTTTCATTGTTGCAAATTGAACATAATTAAAGCATAGTGATTCATCACAAAAATATGTAATTATATATTGTGAAATACTTATTTCTAATGACAAATAAATGAAATTTTGTCTTGAAGCATGGTGTAGCATGGGTAACAGTCTTCACACTGTGTACTCCTATGTGGGTGTATCTATGCCTGTGGGTGGGCCCACCTGGAGAAGGATAGAGCAGTGTCCCTGTTCCTAAGACCAACAGAAATATGTTTTCCGATGGTCTTAGGCAACCCCTGTGAAAGGGTCGTTCGACCCCCAAAGGGGTCTTGACCCACAGGTTGAGAACCGCTGCTGAAAAGATATACGAATCTAAACTAAGCAGGACATTGGTAGTAGAACAACGGCTACAAAAAGGACAAAGGCCCAGGGAATTTGGTGTCTACTAAAGAGGAGTGGGTTGCATAACCGAGCATTTTGTGAAGCTGGTAGAACTTGGTGATTCTTTAGATGTGATGGGGGCCAGCATAGGTACTGTTTCCCCGAAATAAGACATCCCCCCAAAATGAGACCTACTTACAGTTTTGCCTCTCACTGAAATATAAGGCATCCCCCCGAAAATAAGACCTCCCTAAAAATAATGCTCCCTGAAGCTACCGTAACTCTGGACCATAGCGGCGGATGCCGCCGTGCAGCTCACTGTGCGCTGCAGCGCAGCCAGAGCAGACAGGAAGTGCGAGGTCTCTTTTAATAAAACAATAAATAGTAAATGTGTACCATATTCTTCTTCATGGAAAAATAAGACATCCCTTGAAAATAAGACCAAGCACATCTTTGGGAGCAAAAATTAATATATGACACTGTCTTATTTTCGGGGAAACAGGGTGCACTAGGATCTGGCTTGGATGAACTAGGAGGAACAGAGGGTGCTTTCAGAGAACGATGATGAGTTTATTTGGGGACATTTTCAATTTGAGATTCCAGACAAGGCAAGGAGAAATGTCCTTTAGTGCAAGAAACACCTGAAAGAAAAATGCCCTCAGACTACAAATGAAGTCTGGGAGGAACCAGCATTGGCACGGGGATTGGTATTCTGAGGGAGCAGGAAGGGGACTATCAAGAGACAGAACAAACAGATAAATGAAGGTTGAGGAGAACGAGAAGAGGGCAGTTTCAAAGGCTGATACTTAAGGAGAAGCAGGTCTACTATATGTCATGGCCTGAAAGGTGGGCTTTGGATTCAGCTGGATCATTGGTGACTATTGTCAGAGCAAACGGCAATGGCATGGTGGCCTGAAACCACATGGGAGTGGGGGTGAGGAGTCATGCATGGGCAGAGCTGAAAATACCAAATACCAAATATAGGTTATTCTTTTGGCAATGCAGCCGATAAAGGGCAGAGGGGAAAGGCAAAGTCAATATGAGGGTATTCTGTCAGCAAGAAACAGTAGGGAAGCGTGGGGGCAGCAAATTATTCAATGGGCTCTTCTCACCAAGTTTTCTAACTTCCATCCAATGGTCTTTTACTGCGTGGGTCTGGGTAAGAAGGGGGGGATAGGCACAGATGGATAGGATTCACCGGTGTGCCATGTTATGCTATGTTATGAACCCTCTGAGGAGCAGCAGAGGGGAATCTCACCCCAGGAAGAGGCAGGAGTGAAGCAGGTCCTCTGCCCCTGAGCATCCCTAGGCAGTGAGCTCCCTGGAGCAGAAGGCAGCTGGGTCATCAGAGGAGCAGCAGAAGCAGCAGCCAGAGTCTGAAGTAGATGCAGGACTTCCCAGCCATGGACTTGAGTGTTTTGGGGAAGAAGGCTGGCTTGTGGAGTGAGGTGCCCCTGGGTACATAAATGGGGGAGTAGGACTTGCTGACCCAATGAAGGTGGAGTCCAGTGCCTCCAGGATAACATTTATTGGAGAGGGACGCCTCTGGGTATATAACTGGGGGAGGTGGACTGGCTGACCCCCGAAACTTGAGCTGAAGACCTTCCAGTTGAGGCTTGCAGTGGAGGGGTATGCACCTTTGGGCCTTTATTTACAGCCCTTAAAGAACTCGAGAACACATCCTGCTGAGAAACTGTATCCTGAGCATTTCTCACTTGCATTACAGCCTGTTAACTTCCTCAGTAACCTCCATAATCTTTGATATTGTGTAGCCATTGCACCGAATAGCAGATTCTATTTGAAAAGTAGATCGGCTTGTTTGAGACAACTCTGGGAGGAAAGGGGGCAGGTGAGGGGAAACAATGCTGATGGAGGGAACGAGGTCTTGGGGAAACTGGGGGAGGTGATATCATACAGCAAGGACACCTCCTTTCTTGGAACTTTAAGGGAGATGGTGACCATGGTACAAAAGTGGTAAGTTCTATGGGTAAGGGAGAAGGTTGACTAAAAAATAACCACAGAAATATACTAAGGACTTCACGGAAATTAGTCTTGAAGAATAACTGTGTGTTAGAAAAAAAAAAAGTGCAAATCATGCCATTCAGTAAAATCCAATTTGCAAAAACATCTACATTTTCCATTGGTATCGTTATGAGGATAGGTCAAAAAGGATTGCTACACAAATCATAGAAAGCTTTGTTAAAAACAGTCTCGGAGGAGAATGAAGCTGTTATTTTTGGCATGTCCTTCATCTAGGTGTCTACACTCCTGACGCGGTGTTTCCATGTCACCAGCCTCCCCCAAAGAATTCGGCATGTTTCCATTTACATCACAAGGGAATCAAATGGTTTTCCTTTTAAATACTCTTTGGGTTTGGGGAACAAAAAGAAGTGTGAAGAGGCAAGATTAGGGTTGTAGAGCAGATGAGATAAAGTTTCCCAATGAAATTCTTACAGGATAATCCTTGCTACCCTTAAGGAATGAGACCGGTGACGTTGGAACAAACATTATTTGGTCTAACTTTCCAGGCCTTTCCACCCACTCCACGGTAGTTTCCTGTTTTCTTAAAATGTCTTCCAATTAAGCCCCGGTGAGTGTTCAGTGTCTCTATCGAAAAATAAGATGACCTCTTTAAGACTAAAATAACAAAACGAATCCCTGAAACGTCCCCATACGCTTGTTAGTGGATGTGCAGCTGTGTAGGGGAAGCCTGGGCTTTCTATGCCTGAGAAACAGTTACAATCTCAGAATCCACCCGGGGCCGGCTCTGAGTTGGCGTGGGACTCGATGGCAGGAGCTGACTGGGGGACTGAGCCGAGGACATTGCTGAAGACTTGTCACCATCACCAAGAGCCGCGCTGAAATAAACTTCGTTTCATTTTGTTTGGGCTACGTCTGCAGCGTATTGAACTCGTAGTCATGCTTTGTGCTGTATCCGTGGTTGTTCAGTTACATGTAGGAGATGGAATGTATCCAGCCATATGTGGAGGGGAAAAAAGACCCATCTTAACCGTTATCTTTTCATGCTAAATTTTTATTTCAATGTTATGCAACTGCATAAGTATAAATATTTGTTCAATATACAACAATTATGACATCCATAGGGAATTTTCTTAGAGAAAATAAGACTGCAAACACTTTATTGCACAGATCCTAACGAACTTTGAAGCTGGTAAACTCTACAGCTGGGAGCACATCTTACAACTACACACAGACCGACCAAACAGAACACAGGCGGGTTTTTCTACCAGCTGACTGGAGAGGTTTACAACAACAACAACGAACAGGTAGTACTCTATACGCATTCAAAGGCAAAAAAAACCCAAAACCCAACACAAATGTATTTGGCAAAAATGATAATACACTATACAAAATATACATCAAAATATCATTTGTAAACAAGCAGCTAGTTGTGCTTCAAAGGAAACTGGACAGTTAACAAGCAAAGGCTGTAAACCATGACCTGCCTCCCCAATACATCTGTCTTGATGTGTCAGTGCAGAAGGACTGGGTTGTGCCCACCGCCAAACACAGATATGCATTATAGATGTTGAGACCACTTTTGAAATCCAGCTAAGTTCGTGTAAAATATTTGTTCTATTTCTATAATTTGGGAAAGCAGAGATAGGAAAGGGGCCGACTAGCCACAAGGGGGACAAACATCATAGTCGGGTGCAAGGTGGAGGCTGTTCCTCTTGTCATGGCCAACGTGTTTTGACAAGGAAGGACAACTGAAAGAGTCGGTTGAATGAGGTCTTTGTTTTAGGAGCAGAGTATACAGCCTTGCTAGTTGATTTACAATCCACGGGGCCCTGTGATGATGCCATGCTCATATGAACAGTTTTCTAGCCTGAAGACACTGAGACATTCCCAAGGGAGATTGGGTGCTGGATTAGTTATTTATTGGTAATTCCCCCCTTCCCACCCCCCACACATACAAAAACAAAACAAAATCCCGCTATAGATCCCAAGCATCTTATAAATACGTATCTGTGTGCATTCTTGCTTAGTGCCTGACTACTTATGCCAGCAAGTGCTGTCTTACAAAACAAGCCACCAGAAAAAAACGAAACAAAAAAAAACAAAACTGCAACCAACCAACCAAATCAAAACCCTCAGTACTAATAGGATTTGATAAAGTCTACATATTCCACAATATACAAAATTTAAATAAGGCTTAGCAAAAGTAAAAAGGGCAGTCACATTCAAACACCAAATAGCTCCAAGTCTGTGTTACAAAAATGCTGCTCTTTATTGATAGTGTTATTGATTTCATTTATTTTTTGCATACAAATAAAGAGACCAAGTTATGAAACATATGGAGCTACTCGATGCACTGGAAATGAATGTGAAACCCAGGAACTTGCTAAAAACAGCAAGCTTCAGCTATAACATAAGGCCCCAGCTATGTATTAAAATGCATCTGATGTCCTGATTATTTCTTTATATGCTATGATGCCCAAATCCAACCCTCTTCTTTTCTTCCCCCAAAGCAAATTGAAAACCTTTTCTAATGCCGGATCCTCATGACTCAACCCTAAACACTAGCAGGCTGTGTGCGGTCAGTCATTTGCCTTCTTAGTCTAGAGCAGGCCTGGGGCAGGACAGTTACAAAGCATGTGCTTCTTGGACTAGCGACTCACAGCATAAAGGCCTGAGTATCAGAGTGGGAGACGGAGGGATAGAAAGAAAGAAGTGACGCTGACACATGTCTCTAGTTGCTGCTAGCCTGGAGACCCAACCCACACCCACAGACATGGACAACTGACCTTCCAGGTCAGCTGGCCCCAGGGTCAACAACCCATTAGGCTGCCGGCGACCTGCAGATGGAGCGATCTGTGCCTACCTGGGGAGGGCCCCAAATGCAGCGATGAAGAGGAGTTTGTATTTTGGATCTGGAACTACAGGTATAGCCAGATACAGTGCTATCAAAATCTCTGGTTAAAAATGCACATTAAAAACTCACAAGCTACTATCCTTGGGCCTTCCTTTCATCTTTAAGTCTTTTAATGTTCGAAGAGAAAAAGGTCACCTATAATACTCTCGTAAGCCACTGACTAAAGCATGTTGTGTGTTGATGAGAAGATACACGAACATGGGTGCACAGACACCCAGTTCTAAACATGTTGCTTCATTCCTACATTATGATAACTAAGTGGTAAAGCAAAAATTTCATTAAAAAAAACAAACCACCAACCAACAACACCCAACAAGGCTGTAGTAAACACCGCCATCAGCAGCAAGGTATGGACTCTATATTCAAAACCAAACACTTGGCTGGGTATTTACAGAGAAACTCTTGTTGTCCTTAACAATCTCAATTGTAAAGGTAATTTTGTCTCTGTACAAACACTCTAGGGTAAGTTTACCGGTTACAATTGGGAAGGCATTTGGAAGAAGGTCCCCCCTGTCTTTCTCTCTCCTCTTCCTGACTTGAGGCTCCCCTGCTCTGCCTGGCAGACACCCCCGACACAGTGCTGGTTAAGAAAGGTAGTCAAGACAGTTAGTTACACATTCAGGCGGGGTCTCCACGGTCCTGTGCCCGGGCCCCACCCCGTTATGAGGGCTTTTTGTGCGTGCGCACCCCCTCTTTGCCCCGCCTCTGCCGAACCACAAAGTCCTTCTCGGAGGAAAGGGTGAGGGGGCGCTCTGTGTTTGGAGTTGCGGCTGGCTTGGCCACTTCTCTGCCCACGTTGTGTTTCCTGGCGGTGGGAGGCTCTTTCCCTTTGGTGTCTCCAAGGTTGGCAGTCACAGAGAGGGCCCTCTCCCGGTGGCCAGTGCTCCTGCCCAGGTTGGGCTCGGGGTGGTGCGGCTCGGGAGGAATGGCGGAGCTCCAGAAGGATGGCAGAGAGTCGCTCTTTGTCATTTGGGTTCTGCCATCACCCCCAGGCAGGGCTTTCCTATGGTCCCTGTTGCTCAGGGCTTCGGGCTCAGCTGTGCCCCCGTTGGCCTTGGCAGAAAAGGCCTCGCTGCCTGCTGGGTTGGCCTCCCGGACCCCTGGCCTGCCTTCTGGGAAGCTGGAGGACGCGCTCAGGGACTTCTCCACGAGGCTGCCAGAGCGCAAAGAACTCTGCCCAGTGGCCGAGGGGGACCGTCTCATGCTGCCTGGCTTGCCTGCCTCTGTCGGGCCCTTCTGGGGACTGAGTCCTTTGCCCTTGGCCTCTGGGACACCCTTCCCCGCGGCCCCCGCGGGTCTCTCTGCGCCTTTCAGCCTGGCCTCGCTGGGTGCCAAGGAAGAGCTGGCTTCCAGCTTCCCGTTCTCCGCGGGGCCGTAAAGTGCTTCCGTGCATTTTTTCCCGTCAGACTTCCTGTCTGTGGTGGTGGCGGCTGGCTGACTTGGGCTCCTGTCTGTCTGTCTGTACAGAGCTGGGTGATCTTTCACAGTGATCGGTTTGGGATGCTTTGGAGACAGGGTTTGCTTTTCACCGAAGGTCGGAAGTTTCTGGTCAGCCGACTCGCCCAAACCTGGGTGTCCTTGCCCTGGAGAATGCACCGGCTTCTCCAACATCTCTGGGGCACAACCACCGCCAGCCGGTTTGGGCTTAAGGTCCAGGGGACACCCTGGGGTCTGCAATGGGAGGGAAGGCCCTCTTTCTCCCTGACCGGTCACATCTCCGGCTTTGTTCTGGGTGCCTGGAATGGCAGGGGAAGCATCCTTACTGTTGCTTTTTGCCTCCCTGCTGGAGCTGCTCAGGGGCTGCTGGGGGAGCTCCTTGCCCTTGACAGTGCCGCTGGTGCTTGCTCTCTGGGAGGGGGGCCGGTCTGGGTGCTTAGACTTTGGTGGGCCGGGGTCTGGTCCCAGCCTGGGCTTGTGGCTGTTGCTTTCACTCGGCCCGGCAGCAGCAGGCCTGGGGGGCTCTCGGGGGCCAGGGCTGGGCTCAGCTGCACTAGCCTTGGTCCCTGACTCTCTGCCTGCAGAATGGCTTGCTGGGTTGCAATGCTGCCACGTGGCTGGGCCGGGGACTTCTTTGGTGGCTAATGGGGGCTGAGGGTTACTGCTGAGGGGCTTCTGCAGGGGCTGCTCTTTCTTGTCAGGTTCCTTGGGACTGTCTTTCTGCGTAGCTGGGAGCTTCTCACTCTTCCCACTCTCCATTCCTGGTGGCTGCACAGAGCGCCTGGGCGGGGGGCCTTCGGCTTTGGGCTCCATGGCGCCCCTGACCTTGCTCAGCTCCCTTTCACAGGGGAACCCGGTGGAGTGCAATGAGGAGTCCTCTCTGGCTGGGGGCCTCCTCTCATGCGGGCCTTCTTGGTGGTTTGTTTTCCCACCAGCCCCCCAGGCTCTCTCCATGGTGTGGGTTTGGGGACGGAAGTCTGAATGGGTCTTCCCTGCAGAGGGGAGAGTCTGGAAGCTGTCACTAGTTTTAGTGGTTTCTGGGAGGTACAGCTCCCGGGGCTGGTCTCCATGGACGTCAGTCTTTGGTGCAAACCGCTCGCTTCTGGTTTTGGCGGGGCCCCTGCCCGGTGTCTCTCTCAGGCTGGCCTTCTCCCTGGAGGGGCTCCCTTCGGAGTGCAGGAGGCTGCGCGGTAAGGCTGTATCTGGGCTCCCAGCTGCACTGGGGAGGTTCTGCCCAGGGAAGGGGAGGAGCGTGGCATCGGGGGCGTGGTCTTGGGATCTGGTGGCACCGACCTCTCTGCATTGTTGAGGATCTTGTTCCAAGACAGTCACCAGGCCTCTGGCAGTGGCCTGGGTGACCTTCCTGTCCCGCTTCAGCTCTGGGTCCTGCTGGGGAGCTGGAAGCGAGGAGTTCTGGAGGCCCCGGCTGGGGGGCTGGAAGCGAGGCTCCAGCAAATAAGACTTGTGCATCTTCAAGCTGGCGGAGGAGGGCTCCCTCGGAGTGGCTGTCTCACCCTTGGCAGGGCTGCCAGAGGGAGCTGGTGGTGCTGACGCCCCCAGGTCACTGCCCCGGCCTGGAGTCTGGGCCAACTGCGGGGGCAGCAGCTCTGCCTTGGAGACCTGCCGTCCAGACAGGAGAGCAATGTCCAAAGTGCCTTCAATGGGCTTCAGGCAGGAAACCGATCTACCTTCCAGCTTGTACTCGGAGGGGCTCTTCCGCACAGGGGACTCCGGTGCCACCAAGCCCGACTTTTCAGCTACGCTGTCCCCCCGGCCAGCCAAGGTCTTGAGGGGGACAAAGGCGACAGCGCTGATCTGCGCTGTGTGGGCACCACCGATAAACGCTCGACCCTCTACACCTGACGGGGCCTCTTGGGGGCCACCCGTGGGCCGGGTCATGGTCCCGGGCAGGCAGTCATGGGTGCTGGGTGCCGTCTTGGGCTTCAGCACAGGCCCAAGGCTGTCATCCTTGTCTTTGAAGGGCATTTTCTTTCGGAGGTAATCGATATTGGCAAGCTTGCCGTCCAGCTTCTCACAGCCCAGGCAGTCCTTGGTCTGGGCCGCCTTCTTGGTGCCCTCTGCCTTGCCGGGGACTGGCCTGGTGCCCAGGTGGGGGAGGCCGTCCTGGAGGGCGCCAGGAGGGGAGACGCGTCTGAAATCGCCCTGGCAGGCGGGTGCCGCAGGCCCCTTGGAGTCGGGGGTGGCTCCCTCGCTGGCCCGTGCGCCCGTTTTCTTGGGGGGCGCCTCCTTCAGCAGGCTGCCCGGAGACGACGCCTGGGCCTCCGGCAAGCCGGCCTTGGTCTCGAAGTGGCTGGATCTTTCTAAGGCCTTTGGGAAAATTTTCCTCTCTCGTTCCTCCAGGCGGAAGGGAGGGAGGGCTTCTGTGTCACCGCCGGCCCCATGGGACCCCTGGTGGGGCTCTGGCTTCTCAGGGAGGCCATCTGGCTTCTTTACCATCACCTTGGCCTTGAGTTTCTCGCGGTCCAGGTCGTCCACAGTCTCCTGCCGTCCCAGCTTCCGGGACACGGGCCGCTTCAGGCAGCCTTGCTCCACCGGCCGCGCGCGGCTGAGCGAGGGCGCTTCGCACACGGTCTCCTCCAGGCTCTGCAGGGGGGCCTCCCGCTGCTGCGACTGCTCCCGCGGCGGCACCTCCTCCTGGGTCACCTCCAGGCTGTGCTTGCGGGCGCACAGGTGCTTCTTGTCACTGCCGTAGGAGGGCGAAAGCTTCTCCTCCGACTGCACCCGCTTGAGCAGCGGGGACCTCGGGGGCTCGGCGCTCTTGGGCCTCACGACGTGTCGCACGATCGTGGGCGGGGAGTGCATCTTGCTGGGGAAGGCTTGCGCCATCTTGGAATTGCCCAGCGAGTGTCCCAGCAAAGGCGACGGGGACCGCTGCGGGGAGGTGGGCTGCGGGGTCGGGGAGGGTGTCCGGGCCAGCGGGGAGAGCGGGATGCTGCCGGCGGACTTGCGCCTTCCGGAGCGGTACCTCTGCCCGCCGAGCTTGGGTGCCAGGCCGTGCAGGGTGCTGGGCCGGATGTGCCCGGACCCGGCGGGCGAGTTGGGGGCACTAGAACTTGGAGAGCTGCTCTGGGAGGAATTAGTGCCTGGAGGGGGCGGGTAAAAAAACCCAAACAAAAACACCATGAGTGTCCCCTTCCTCTGCTTTCCAGCCTCCCTGCTCCGAAAATCCCCTCCGCATCTTCATCTAAGGAAAGAAATCTTTTCCAGACAAAGCCCCTCCTACCGAGACTCCCTGTCCCGTTACTTAGCGAATGGTGGTGAAAACACACACACCAACTGATTTTCCCATTCATCAGTCTCTTCCTGTATAGCTCGGGACCCTGATGACCTTCTCCACGTGGTGTCACCCTTATCTTGCCCCCTCTCAAATGACTCCAACGCCATTAACATACACGCAGGACCTCCTGGGGCTGTGTGTGTGTGTGTGTGTGTGTGTGTGTGTGAGTATGGGGAGCTCTCTGTTTCTTATCTCATTTGAAGGGCGACTCTAACCATTGCTTATGATCTTCCTGGCAATCCTGTTCTGCGTGGTGAACATGCACAACCTCACCTCACCTCTCCTCTCCTCTCCCCTCCCTTCTCCTGTCCTTTCCTCCACTCTCCCCTCCCCTCCCCTTCCGCTGGCATTAGTGCTGCATCTGCAGCCTCTCCCGCGAGACTGCGAGCCTCCCCCCCTGCTGTCAAGGCTGGCATCTCACTCACCGGACGGGAAGTCAGGCGTGGAGCGATAGCTCGGCGTGGGTGACCGGGGAGACAAGCTGTGGGTCGGGGAACCCGGCAGGCTCTCTCCTGACGAGAGGGATCGGTTCAAGCAGGAGAAACTCCGGCTGGTGTGAAGTAAAGGGGAGGGCTGCTTGGCGAGCTTTTTGAAAAGGGACCTCCTTCTAGAGGGGAATAGAGGGAAACTGATAAGGAGCCAAGCCCGAGAACATCCAAATTCCATTTTCTGAATTATACTTACCTTCCCACATTCCATTTACCCCGTCGGTGCCAGAGGCATTGAAAGAACAGGATACTTTTATACTCCAACACTACTTTTTATAGCTTACATTGATGTATTCTTGGATTGTAGAAACTGGAGACTCTCTTACTTCCACCCCCTTTAAGAAGAGTTGGGGTAATACACACACACACACACACACACACACACACACACACACACACACACCATTAACATGTTTTCAAAATGTAGTCAATGACTTGCCAGGTTTGAGAAAGAAGACGTACTTTGCCTGAAAGCTTCAGAGGACAAGCCCCCAAGTACATGGCCACACATTTAAGTACAAGATCAACGCCTGGAATAAACCCCATAGCTTGGATACAGGAGTCGTTAATGGGGATCCACCAGGCAGACGCTTTTGTCAACCGCAGGCTACGAGCTGGAGCTGAGCTTATCCCATTGTGTGCTCTTGAATATGGGACACCACAATGCCCGCTGCATATTTCCATAAGAAACCTGAGCAAGGAGAAGCTACAGCTTATCCTATCAGCTGGGCAGCAGACACCACACTGCAGCCGTGGGAGAACGCAGTCCCCCACTATCACAAATTATGCAGTGGAGTTTCCCACATTTGGGGAAATCGCAGGGGCCAGCACATACGGAGTGCAATGGGTGAACCTCGTCCTGGGAAAACCACCTTTGTGATCATTGTATCTCCCCTGCACAGGTAAGTATGCAACTGTTGGTTTTTAAGATAATGTAAAGGACATTAACAACTGCCTGAAGCCTGGGTCCCTCAAATCCAACTGACAAGAAATCTAGAGGCTTAAAACTCAGCAAAGGGCTTTTCCATGGTGCCCTGATGATAAAAAGCCATGTAAATCCTTCTAAAATACATACATGTAAATCCTTCTAAAATATATACATGTAAATCCTTCTATTATAAAAAATAATACAATCATGAAAATGAACTTTAATGTATATGTGACATTGCATGAAAGTTGTAACAGAGAAACAGATCTTTCTCAAAGGGAAGTATTTAAAGTAAGGAGTCACTTTGTCCCAGCATGAGTGTGCACCAGACTTGCAACAATACTATTTAACTAACCTTTCTAGACTTTCTTTCTTCTTAGATTTCTTACTCCGCCTCACCATCCGGCTCTTATAGCTGTTTCTCCTGGCTGGTCCTGTTTTGATTGATGTGTTTTCAAATGGGGTGGTAGTGATGGACACCTTATTTCCACTCTATTTAAAAAGAGAGAGAAGGGGAGGGGTGTTATTAAAGAGAAATGCTGTGATGAAACAAGACCAGACTAGACAGGAGATTCAAAAACAAATAAAAATACGTAGGAACATAGACAGACACGGAAGGCCTCGCTTTGTGAAGTAACTTTCCAAAAACAATGAAGTCCTGACAGTATGTATACTGCGTAGGCAGTAACACGTGAGATGCATTTAAGAGGGTTGCCTCCGTAGTTTCCTAAGCTGAATTCAAATTGGAGATGGAGACCCTTAAAAGGTGGTTGAACCTCCTCATTCCTCAATTTTCTTTACTATCTCAATGGTGACCCTCTAGGGCACAGTAGATCTATACCTGTAGGTTTCTGCAACTACAAATCTTTATAGGAGTAGAAAGCTTCATCTTTCTCCTGAGAAGTATCTGGTGGGCTCAAACTTTTGACCTTGTGGTTAGCCATCCAACAAGTAATCCACTTTTCCAGCAGACAGGGTGAGAATTGACTTGATGGCACTGGACAGTAGTATCTAACAATATACAGCCAAACCCATCCTCTCGGCCTCATATAAGGATTCGATGAGATCAAGCTGGTCAAGCCTTTAGCACCAAGTGGCAAAGGGCTTGATAAATAACAGTTCTCTTCATCCATATGTATTGAACATAAATGTGCCCAGGGATTGTCTGCACTTGGTTGATTTATTTTTCTTTGCCTCCTTTTTGTGTTTTCCATTGGTCTAGAAATTATAGAGTTGCAAAATTGAATGGGACATTTATATTTAATTATTTTAAAGGGTTTCTTTTTTATGTCCATAAAATCTGTCAGCGTGCAGAGTTGGAGCATTTTATGCCAGCCGATAGGAAACAGCTTCCCTGAAACTGGGACCGGAGAGGCGAGAGAGTTCCTGATGGGGGTCTGGGCCTTTTCACTGAATTCTGAAGGGGGGGGGGGCTGCGCAGGCCCTGGGGATGGGCTTGATAATGGAGTCAGAGCCAGGTTGAGAGGTGACTGGGGAAGGTTTGAACCTCCGGTCACCTTGGCATCAATTACTTCTTCTTGAATTTCTTTAATAATCAGGGGAGAAGCATGTCCTTTCAAAGTCAGAGATGGCCCTGATTACCTTGAAAATACAGGAAGCGCGAGAAGAGTCTTTTTAGAGGCCTGTCTGGGAAAAACGAAACAATCGTAGCAAAGTGGTACCGACTGGTACCATAGGATCATCCAAAACAGAATGAAATGAGACAAAGCTCGTTGCCGTGGAGTGAACTGCCGACCTTGCGGTTAACAGCCCTGCATGTAACCCACTAACCTACCATCATTGGACCAGAAAGAAAGCCGTCTAAGTGAGGTATCTACGTCCACATTGAAGAAGCACACCAGCTGTGTGATCCAAAGCTTCTACATAATAAAATCCAAGACTGGCGGAGGAAACAGTATTCCAGCTTAAACTCTGCACACTGGATGTGCAGAAGGCTAAGGAGGTTAGTGAAAGCCTGAAATCCATTTGTAGGATTAAGTCACATGGATTAAGTCTCTCATGAAATCCCTCTGACCATTGGCCAGGGATGGGAATAGCCTCGTTATCAGAGAAAGTACATTGGGAAGTAGATTCATGCAGATGTAATTAGGCTACAATTTAACAACTTAACCATCCGCTCTCCCTTTGGCCATTTAAAATCTGTTCTAGTTTTTTATATTACATGCTTTCTTTTTCATTGAAGGATTTTTCCTGTATATGAAATCCAGGATAGGTAAATCCATAAAGACAGTAAGTGCAGTAATAGATTTTAGGGTTATGGCAGGGGAGGTTGGTGGGAAATGGAGAGCTAATAATAGTAAGTACAAGAAAGAAGAAAATGTCCTAAAATTGATTGTGGTGATTATTGCACAACTCTTTTAATATGATTAAACTATTGAACTGTATGCTTCATGCGACCAGGGGAGAATTGTGAATCCTGCCACCTAGTGGATCCATCCAGCACAGCTAGTGTTAACCTGGACTCAGCTCAGCGTGTGCTTATTGGGCTTGTTTAGCATCAGTTAACTTCTGTTGAAGAATGAGTGATGGATGCCTCATTAGAGAAACTCAGCTGCACTTGTTTTAAAAACAACAACATGGAAAATGGAGCCACTCTACGGTTGATGTTCAATTACTTCACTTTTACTTTAAGCAATTTGTATGCTTAGTGCACAGTGAGAGGGCAATGATTTTAACCTGGCTGAACCCTGGTGGCGTACCTTGATTGGGCTGTTAACCACAAGGCCAGCAGTTTGAAACTGCCAGCAGCTCTGTAGGTGAAAGATGAGCCTATCTATTCCTGTAAACAATCCCAGCCTAGGACACTCAGAGGCAGTTCTACCTTGTCCTGCAGGGCTGCCACAGAATCATCTCTGTCGCCACCAGTGAGTGGAATCTGACTCATTGCCACCCTCAAGAAGATTCCAGGAACACAGCGCTGCAACAATGGGCTCACACTGAACAACAATTGTGAGGCCGGGGCAGGGCCAGGCACTGTCTCACTCTGTTTAACCAAGGGTCACTATGAGTCAGAACGGATTTGCTGGCGCTTAATGACAACGTATGCAGAAAGCAGACAGGCTGAGAGGGAAGTTTTGGATTACCAAAGTTAAGTCTGGCGAGCTATCAGGTAAGCAGGGGATCTGAAAGGTTATATGCCCCCCAAAATACAGGTATATTCGGGTCCATAAAGGAATTCTTTTAGAAAAAATGATGCTACCTAAAAGTGGAAGAGCACTAGTGACGTTCTGATAGCAGGAGACACGTGACCCAAAGGCGAAAAGATCCTTTAGAGAGCTTCACCTTGCAATGGGGAGCTGAATTAAATAAACATGGGATTTGATGAATCAATGGCGTAACGTTGGACAAGCGTCCCGGTGTGGACACGTGCCTCTCCCACACCAGGTTCACTTGGGAGGAGTGGGGGCAGGGGAAGCCCGGATGAACCAGAAAGCAGGGAAACGGTTCTCTCTACTCGTACTCCAAAAGATCGCTGTTCTCTGCAGTTACCTAGACAGGCAGGCCGTGGGCTAGGTATTTCCACCTTCTTCTGAAGGTGAGAGCAGTTTGTGTGAGGTGTTCTGCAATGACCCACACCAGGCAAACAGCAGCCAGGAAAGCGAGGCTGGCTCACTGATGTCAAGCCCTTGATGGCAGGCAGGAGCCCAGCGCCGGGTCTCGTCACTGTTACACTCTGCTCCAGAATCGCTAGCTGGATTTGGAAGGAGCTGCACAATTACACAGTTCACTGAGAAGATAATTAAATCCCTTGTACCCTCTTTGTTTCATTACACCGGTTCCTCCTCTGGAGTGCTTCCCTTACCAAGCAGAGGCAGCAGCCTCTGTGTGGATCTGTGTCTGAGCCCACTGAGCCTTCTGCTAGAGGACGATCAGGCAAATCAGCGACACAGACTAGTGCCGAGGCGCTGACCTGGGGATGTGGGATTTCAATTGTGGGAGGTGCTTTCTTACCAGATGAGGATAAAATGCTCCAAATGGGAACATTCACTTCTGTGGAAGGCCTTGCCGGCTTTAGGGAGAAGGAACACTCCAGTTTTATAGAAGAAGGGATTCTGGTTTGAAACCCAGAATCACATGAAAACACGTTGTCAAATAAATCATGCACCCGATTGTGCTTCAGCAAAGTAAACTGATGCATATATATAAGGTTATTTCTTATTCTGACTTCATGAGCAGACACAGGATACAAGTAAGATATGCAGTGGCAGAAACTACTTTGCATAATATAATTCAACACTGCTATACAGCAGTACATACATAGTACCGTCTGAATCCCAGGGTCTTCTGGTTGCTGATGCCCCAGGTTTGGGAAAAGTCCTAGCAGGAAGCATGACCACTAGGAGAAGCTCACCCACAGCACACGAACTGAGTTTCTAACCTAAAGGGTCCTGGGTAACTCCTATATGTGGGCTCAAGGAGCATGGTAGAGATGTTAGGCACCTCTGTCTGTGCCCATCTGGTAGGCTCCACCATCTAGAAACGAGTGTGTGTGCGCGTAATGTGCTCATTCTATATGATGCTTGCTCGCTCTCTAATGATTAGATGATACACAATCACAATCTAATCCTATAGAATGGTTAGATTATAGGTAATATATCTAATTGACACTGGGGACAAAGTGGGGGGGGGGGTTGTCTAAAGATGTTCCCATGTCTTTGTTCACTACAAGCAGACCTGTGAATCAGTAACAGAGCCAACACTGGACTACCAGGGTCAGATCTCAAGAGGTGAAACTAGTCAGATTCTGGAACCTGGGTTTTTCTAGAATTTTTGTCTTGGAGGAGCTGGGGTCATGTTGCATGAATTTCCAGGGATATCTTGATCCCTGGAAGTGTTATCTTGATCCATCTCCCATTGCTTGGACATCCGCTGGGATATTATCGCAGTGGAATGTAAGCGGAAGTTGAAACCGTAGGGCTTAGCTTCTTAGATGGCAGAAGTGCCCTGTGTTTCTGTTGAGTGGCCATTAGAGTGAATCTGCAGACTGGCTCCAACCTTCTTCAGGCTCCTGCTACCATTGAAATAGCACATGCATGAAGACATCAGTCAAGACACAACACAAGGCGCCATGTGGCTCGGCTTCTTTCATGGTGACATTGCACAACAAGCAATGGAAAATCCCATGGCTCGTGACAATTCAATAAGCATTTATTGAGTGCCTACCTATCTACTGGGCACTAGGGGTTGTGCAGAAAGCTTAAAAACTAACTCCGTATCCCATCTACATGGGTGCCATTTCGTCTATGCATTTGACCTGCCCCTAATATGGTCTCCAACATTGCCTGTGCCTCTGTGATATTCTCTCAATAGCCAGCGCCATCTTTCCGGGTAAACAGCACACGCATTAGTGAGAAAGCTGGCTGGAGTTTGGGAAACATCCCACCGGCGTGGATGACAGCAGCAGACAGGCCCAATCCCCCGTGGGTCTGGAGCCCCAGACCACAAGCTCATTAATGTTGTGGTTTAATCAATGGCAAGAATGCTCCTGTGATCTACTACTTCACACGGCACCTCTAGAGACAGACCCCAACTCTTCTGGGACACAGACTTGCATTGCTGGAAGAATGATAAGGGAGAAGTCATTGAGTTGCACTTGCTTTTGAAATTGTTGGCATACCTCTCGCCTTAGAGCGCCTTCCAAATGCCTACTTACGTTCCGCATCGATGTCACTTCTGAGTGATGCCCTTTATCACTGGTCTCCACAAGCATCCAATGACTCTCTGCTAAACTCACTGCCATCTAGTCCATGCCTACTCATAGTAGGGCTAGGACAGAGTAGAACTGCCCCACAGAACTGCCTCAATAAGAATCTCCGAGAGTGTAACTGCTGATGGGAATAGAAAGCCCATCTTTCTCCGGCCCTGTGCTATGGGCCTGACTGATGAAGTTGTAGTTTACCTGTTTACCGACATCGCCTGGAGGCCTGGATCGCCTTCTACATAACCAATGCCAATCTACCACGGTGCCTGCCTAGTGTTGGAGTGTCTCATCACTAGTCCACATTTGTCAAAACTACATCAAACATTCTACGTCTCCAGATCTTACCTGCCTTTCTCCCAACCTCAAGGCCCCTTCGATCAGAATCAGTCTCTTTTCAAATTTGCAATTAACTGGCATGGACTACCCAGTCAGCCAAGTAGATGGTATCTGACTCAGAGTGTGTGCCTCAGAAAAGGCCAGAGAGAACATCAGTGAGCTGATGCGTACGTTTGTCTAGGAGCCCTGGTGGCCCTCTGGCTGCTAACTGCAAAGCCATGGTACAAACCCACGAGTGGGTCGAGTGGAAAGACGTGGCGATCTACTTCCACAAAGATTAAAACAAAACAACCAGTTGACATCAGGTTGATGCCCTACAGGGCAGAGCACACCTGCACCGGAGGCCTTCCAAGACTTCAACCTTGAGAGAAGCAGTCTGCCACATCTTTTCCTGGGGAGTGACAGGTGGGCTTGAATGGCTGACCTTTTGTTTATCAGCCAAGTGCTTAACCACTGTGCCACCAGGGCCCCTCCGTAAAGATGACACCTTGGAAACCCCAGGGGACAGTTCTACTCCTTCCGGTAGGTTCTAGGTTCGCACTGAGTCACTATTGGCTCCGGGGCACAAAACAAACGCACATACGTTAGGGAGACTTTGTCTCCCTCAAAAGGTTGTAGGTTCAAGCTGGAGTTCAACGGAAGAAAACACTGCCCGTCCCGGGCATCCTCACAATCGTTCTCATGCTTGAGCCCATCCATGCAGCCATGGTGTCATTTCAGCCTTATAATTAGCGATTACCATTTTGATCACAATTAATTAGTCTTTTACTGGAAAAAAAATCAAAATCATCTTTGTTTTAAACCAGGTGCATATTTAGAGCTATGCCTTGGTGGTCTAGAACCAACTGGTGAAGAAGCCAATCACTCAACGACACTGTTTGAGAAGACCAGTGCACATTCCATCTCCCTCTCTACACTCATACCCACACTTCCGAGGTCTGCTTACCCCTCAGACTTAACTGAGCTCGCACTTAAAATAGAAATTAATTTTCCAATACCACTTACTTTTATAGTTCATAGAGCATGAGTATATATAGTCACAATTCTGTCTTTCAAAGGGAATCCAATGATCAGGTGAAGCCTTCTGATTGGACCTCACAGTTCAGTACCACTCTGTCTTCTATTAGACTTAAGCACTACCTCTGAACGCTTCCTGAAGACGCTGAGGATAGGAGATTTCCAAGCAGACTTTGCTTTGTGAGGTACATGAAACAAAGATGCCTCTTACTCACAAGGAAAAACTTGTCAATGATGACCAAGTGCAGACTTATTGAGCTATTTCCTAGTAAACCCACCAGTGAATTAATAAAACGTTTATCTAAAGGTTTAAGTAACCCATCCAAATCAAACTCCCTGCCATCAAATGGATTCTGAGTCAGGGACCCTCTAGGATAGGATAGAACTGCCCTTGGAAAGACTGTCACTCTTTACGGGAGTAGAAAGCCCTGTCTTCCTCTTGCGGAACCACTGGTGGTTTCAAACTGCTGACCTTGCGGTGAGCAGCCCAACCTTCAAACACGACACAAACAGAGCTGCTGCTGCAGCAAACCTTCAGGTTCACGGTAATGAAACCACTTATGTGGATGCTGGATAGACCATGGGAAAAACACAACAAAGCAAAACCATCTCTTGGTAAGACTAGTTCCTTCTGGCAACTTGTCTCACCCGTATGGTCACGACGCACAGAAAGACAGTACCTTCAGCAGGAGCTCGATCACTTCTGTGTGAACAAGTCCGTGCACTGGTTCTCCATTGATATGTGTGATCAGATCCCCGGCCTTGAGTCCAGCCTGGCACGCTGGACTTCCTTCTTCTACATTCTGAAGTCCAAGAGGACAATGGATCATTGTAAGTAAATGAAGGATCTCCCGGACACCTACTCTTTCTTGTGGCAGAGTATCTGAGTTATGAGCAAATGGTCTTACGTTCTTACTGGGAAATTGTAAAGGCGGGTCCCTGTCCCTATCCTATCATCGCTCTAACACAGGGTGAGTCCAATTGTTCCATTAGAAAAACAGACCCAGGGGACAGAGAAGGTGGTTCTTCACAAAAAGCAGGCGAAACGAGCTAAGAAAAACAGGACTGTTCTTAACACCAAGAATGCAAGGGTAGACTCTCTAGTAGGAGAAAGGATTAGTTTTTGCTCAGCTTAGTTCCATCATATAGATCAGTGTTTCCCAAAGTGGGAAATGCCACCTGGGGGAAATGGGGACGATCCAGGTGGACTATAAAAACAGACGCCTACAGTCTATCTTGCTTCAGTTAATCCTACTTGTGTTTATCGGCCAGGTTGGCACAATAAACTATCTCAAGTACAAAAGAGGTTCATTTTCAGTGTGGTGCCAAGTAATTTTTTTTTTCCTGAAAAGGGAACTGAAGGGTGACTGAGTTTGGGAGCTGGTGATTAGATAAAGGGAAACAGCACTGAAGAAAACATAAACCAGTTTAAGTTTTAAACCTCAAAGGAAGTACATTTGTTAGTAACACTGCTTCACCTAGCAGGTCCACACTCTGATCTGGCTAGAAACGAAAAGCAACCGGGGTGCGAGGCGGTCGGTCTCACCCAGACGATGTGGTGCACCGTGTAGATGTCAGTGTCTCCCACGTACACCCGGATGGCTCGGATGGCGAAGCCGTAGTTCTTCCCGGAGCTGTGGATCACAATGGGCTGATGCGGACTGGCAGACGCCGCAGAGGAATCTCGGCTGGGAGAGGAATCCCGGGAAGAAGAAGGGTCCGAGGACAGGGAATGAGGCGACATCGGACTTCCCAGGGGAGAAACAGCAAACATATCTGCAACGAGGCAACCTGTCATCAAAGCTGACCCCAGTCTCCCACAGAAACACCCATGCAGCCGGCCCTCACCACCACAGCAGCCCTGCCAGGGTTGGGAGCAGGGTCACAACACAAGGGCATTCCTTTTCAAGAGCCAAAAGCAAGATGACTGAAGGCGAACGTGGTTCCATTATGGTGGGGATTCACGTAGACTTCAAAACAGAAAATGGTCAAGGAAACTTTGGAATCATTTCCACATGAATGGATTTTCCAGTGATGACTCTACAGTAAGGTGACCAGACGTCCCGATTTTTAACAACTTTTTCCACATCCCGCGGCGTTTTAAAAAAGTCCCGATTTGGAAAGAATGCATGACAAGCCAGGGTATATGGTTTTCAGTTGCCATGTGGCTACTTCGCCAGGATATGAGTTTTATCAATGGTGTCCCGCTTTACCAATGCTAAAATCTGGTCACCTTACTCTAAAGGCATGATTTTCAAGTTCTGTACACTAATCAAAATACACAGACTGGCTACTCTCGCTGTGTCATCCTTCTCACTCACTGCCAACACCTTGATTCCGACTGACAGCCACCCACAGGACAGGGCAGAACTGCCCCGGTGGGTTCCTGACACGGTCACTCTTGACTGTAGCAGAAAGGCCCATCTTTCTCCTGGTGGTTTTGAACTGCTGACCATGTGGTTTGCAGCCCAACTCACCATGCCACCGGGGCTCCTGTGTTAACTTTAGTTAGTATATTTTACTTCAATTAAAGAACTGGATCGTAGGCACATTTATTTCAAGTGTATCCTCACACATAAAAGGCTGTATGGATGATCCAAACGGTATTCCAACTCCAAATCTTGAGCTTGCTCTTGACACTGAGAACCTAGCCCTTTCCAAACACAAGTGGCCCGTGAGCAGTGATTGCTTCAGAGGGACTCCTTATTGCCATAGCAACTCCTTACTGTGTGCTTCTCTTCCTGCATCACCTGCACTGCTGATAATAAGGTTTTGGAGAAGATAAAGGTGGTGGAAGAAATAATAATAATAGGAGAAACTCAGTTCACAGTCAAAACACCATTTATATTCTGTTTTCCTTGTCTAATAAGCAAACATACTTTTGACTTATTGCTTGTATCAATCTTGAATGGACATGAATCTACACAGCCCTTTACTGGCTATTTGTGTGTGTGTGAAAAAGAATAATCTAAAAAATGGTTGCGGTTTAAATATGAGCAGTTTAAATATGTGTGTGTGTGTGTGTGTGTGTGTGTGTGTGTGACAAAGAATAATCTAAAAAACTGCTGCGGTTTAAAGATGAGGCAGCATGACTGCCCTGGAGACCTTGTGGTGTAGTGGGTTAAGCGTCGAGCTGCTAACCCGAGGCCAGCAGCTTCCACCCACAAGCTGCACTGCAGGAGACACAGGAAGCGTTCCGTTGCTGCTTAGACTGACAGCCCCGGAGGCCAAAGGGGCGCTCCTCCTGTGTTCACACCGCTGCGGAGTCAGAACCCAGTCAGCGGCAGTGAGCTGGAGTCAGGTATTCCTACCACCCTCGCTCCCCTTCTTGTGCCTGTCTGAACACGCAACCAAGCGGGATCTGTCACCAGCCATGTGCCTTTGCTCTCAAACTTCATGGGACGCCTTGGTGCTCTTCTGCTGGTTGTCTTGTCAGGGGGAAAGCAGCACCCTGGTGGGCAGGGAGCCTGCACACAGGAAGAGAGCTGCTCATGGCCTGGGATGGTCTCTCCGCATTGGGATGGTTTCTCTCCTCTGCACACATTTAGGAATTTCCCTCCAAAATAACCACTCACTGCCACGGAGTCGATGGCGACTCATGGCGACACTACTCAACAGGGTAGAACTGCCCTTGTGGGTTTCCAAGACTGTAACTCTTTATGGGAGTAGAAAGCCCCATCTTCCTCCTGAGGAACGCCTGATGGTTTCGAACTGCACACCTTGAGAATCGCAGCTGAACTCGTAACCACTACACCACTGGGGCTTCTACGAATTTCACTACTTCACCAAAATGAGGAAGAAAAATATATATATTTTAAACAATCAGCTTTCCAAAGAGGACTCGACTATCCACCTCCTGAGCATGGGGGCGTCCCACCTACTCGATGAAGGACGCTTCCTACTGGGAAATTGGTGGTGTTGGGGGCTCCAGGGGCTGCCTTCCTGCAAACCGGAAGCATTAACGTGAACACTACCCACCAGGGAGCATGCATTTAGATCCGATTTCCTTCTGGAAAACTACGAAAGACTAAAACATGCAAACAATCTCTTGTCTCCATGGTCTGCATCCCGGATCCCAGCCTCTGTGAGACCATTCAATCCCTCTTCTACTCTGGCCCGAGTGACACGTCACAGCCACTAGGGTGTGTACTCCATCTCTGGCCGAGGCAAAACCAGGCTGTGGAACAATACTGCAATTCAGCAAAACTGCCGCGGAGGCCGGTTTCCTAGGCCAGGGCAGGAGATGATGCAGCTACCATCCCCACACAGGGTGAGAGAAGCATGATAGCAGGGCTGTCTGACTGTGTGCAGCCCCGGTACTGAGAGGCTGATATGCTCGGTGTCTATTTCCTCATTAATCAGAAGAGTAAAACAGAAACCCAAAACCACCCTACTGGGTTTTCGCACACAGACGCTGTAAGCAGCTCTGTACACTACCCACACGATGCACAGTGTAGGGGAGAAAAGTTACTCAGCGGAGGTGATGTATCACTTCATTTGGCAGGAATGGCAAGGAAGCGAAACAAAGCACAAGAGAGAAGGCTGGCGGAAAGGGAGGCTTGCAGGACTAAGTGTGATGAGCTGGGTGCACATGCTCTGGGGGAGGCTGCAGGCTCTGCAGGGCGAGTTCCGGGCTCGGCCGGCAGAAGCTCCCGGGAGTGTGGCCGGGCCGCCCCCACCCTGTGACTGCTTCAGACAATTCTGCATCTCAGTCGGCATTCCAAACTGAGGGGCCGGGTGGGGGAGAGGGCCACGTGCACAAATCACACAATTCCATGCGAGGAGATGTCTCTCTACCTCCTGGGATCATGAGGGACAGGGCACTGGCAGAGAGGGACTTTGTGACCTTCCCCGAGGTTTTCTTTTTCTCTGTGCTTTCTAAGCGCTGCCGGGCCACGTGGGAAGCAGGTTCACTGGCGGGCTTTGAGGACTGGTCTGTACTGTCCACACACTCGCTGCTGCGTCCGTTTATCTGATCCAAGTGCTCTGAAAAACTGCCGACTGTACAAAGAAGAAGGGATAAACACGTTCGGGAAAACCAAGGGCGGAAGGTTGGGGACAGGGGCGAAGGACAGGCAGAAGCCAGGCAATGCAATCCCAGGTGGCTCACAGGCCCCTGGAGTATCAGGTGAGGTTGAAGGAAGGTGCCACGGAGGAAGAGAAGCCGGAAGTGAAAAAGGGGAGGTTATGTTCGAATGGTCCAGCAACTCCTCCTCCTCTGCCCTCAGGGACCACAGGTCATCCCAGCAACTACGGGGCCCAGGCATCCGTTGGCTCCTTTCTCCTTGGCATCTGGGGCCACTGGCAAGGATCAAATAATAATGTGAACATCCTCACGTCAGGGAACGGCGGCTACCTGTGAGCGCCACACCTGAGGTTTCGAGGTGTCCACGTGTCGGGTGTCGCGGTTTAAGGGAAATGCAGCCAGGCAGACAGAGAGGAGGAGGTGTAAAGCTGCACTCCCTAAATGGCAGGCGGTGAGCATGCATCGCCTTCATTGCGCCCTCCCTCCCGTCTCAGCCGTCTCGTCTGGCAGCACCGCAGAGGAACGTGCGTTGCTGTTGTACCGGTGGTGGATGATGTCACCACCTTCCTGGTCTCTAAATATCAAGGGGTCCTTCTTCTGGATGGTGGGACCATATAAAAATCAACAAGCTTAATTTGACTAGAGTCACGGTTTTCAGAGTCCCTAATTTACCCGGGGCTGGGAGGGAAGGGGCTCATCTCGCCAGGCTGTACCACCCCCAAGGTCTCTGGCTGCGGTGAGCATGTGTACAGGGGAGAGAGAGAATGGTGGTTTGACTCTATTAATCAAAATGCGTGGCAGGGCCGAGGCAGACTTTTTAAAAAAATTATGAAAATAATCAATCAGATGTTTTGACGCTGGCCCCTTTCTCTTTACCGCCTCTCTTTCTGAAGGTGAATAGGCTTAGGGGACTAAACGATAGGCAGCGATTTACCTTATGAAGTGTTCATGCGAACGGAGGGGAGTACACTCTGTTCAGAGGAAAGTAATAATTAAGAGACAGGGAGCGACCAGCAGCCTCAGGGATGCCATGCATTTGATTTGAGGACCGAGAGAACTTAAGCGAATCTTAGATGAATGGGTTGCATTCTCTGTTGAGATGGGGCCAGAGCAGTCAAGACATTCAGTCTGGAAGTAGAACTAAGGTGAAGAACGAACTGAAAATCCAACATTGGTTTCCCCCCTGGTGAGACTTATAAGCAGAAGCAAAACGACATGGTGAGGCTGAAATACATCCCACTTCACATTTTTGTTTTCTTGAAAACATCATGGACCCCACCCCCCTCCAAAAAAAAGTTTATACCAGGATTATTCAATCAGGTAAAACACTGCTTATAAAGCGCTTGGAATCATTCGCCATTATAAATAGAGCATAATGAATATAGTTTAATGAAAACATTTGTTGTTGCAACCTTAAGCCATATCTATGCTTTAAGTTTAGAAAAGGGCAGTACTTGTGTCTTGCTACGTAAGAGGATATGCTGTCTGTCCATAACATCTGTATCCACCACATAATATTTGAAATGCACTTAAAGACTTGCTTTGAAGGAAGTGCCCCTCTGGCTCCCTGGGGCAGACACCAACTAGCCCTGATCCTAGTAAGCTATAAAAAGTGAAGATATGGGTCCTATTGTTAGGGGGTTATTTAAAAATAAACTGCTTTGAAAGATAAGGCTCAAGATCCTTGCCAAGGATACCTCTTTAGAGGCAAAGATGTCCTAAGGAGTCTCTCACTCCGCTAACCCAGACTGGAAGAGTCGCTCCAGTTTGGAGTGGAGTTGGTTCATGTGTAGACAAAACACCAGTTGATGGCATGGTAGCACCTGTGTAACCCTCCCGACCCGGTCCATTCAGAAAATCCAGCCCCTATATGCACAGCAGGCCCCCCTGAATCTCACAGCAGAACCTTCTTGTTGGATTTAGTGTGAGTCTAGTGTGGAAAGATAAGTTATTTGACACAACTTGGCCTCTCAATGGAAGCCAACTGCTTCAAAGAGGCAATCACCCATTTCAGTAGCTGGCTTTATACGACTCCATATTAAGGGAGACTCGAGAGATTTCCAGAGACAGTTCTGACCATGGTTATTTTACTATGTGGTATTGCCCCCCAACTCCAAATCCTTAAGAGTCAGATACAACACCGTGTTCTTGCATCAACGACTGAAAACGTGCTCTCTTAGCATGTGCTGATGGTCACCATGCGAACGCTGATTCTAAGGTCAAATGCCTAAGCACTAAAGAGGCACCTAAGATACTGGCTCTTCATTGTTTCCCAGGCCAGCCTGGCCCTCCGATCACAAGGGGACACTTCTCAGCACGGCAGATGATGGAGACGGCAGGCCTCCCCACCGAGCAGCTTACCTGACAGGGTGGAGCTGCTGATGGTGCTGGCCGGGGTGGTGACCTCAGCCTCCTCCTGAGTACACTCTTCAGCAGGAAGGACTGGCTTTTCTGGCTCCTCATGGGGGCTTCTGGGGCAGGGGGCAGCTTCATCTTGTTCTCCCTCTGCTGAAATAGCCAGTTTGGGGAGCAGGCCAGAACTGAGCTTGTGCCTGCTGCTTTCAGTATCTGAAGAGTTGGATGTGGATATCTGTTGCCTTCATTAAAAAGAAAACACAAGTCATAAGTACATGTTACCGAAGGGTCTGGGAGAGAAACGAGGTACAAAGGTGGCTTGGCTATGCCTGAGCAATACAGGGCTGAGGCAGAGGTTCTCAGAGCATGAGGCCTGAGCCAGTGGCATGAGCGGCATTCAGAACCTGTGAGACATCTGGGTTCCCAAGTCCCACCTCTGATCTACCAGGGTCAGATAGTCTAAGCTGGGCCTGGAGCAGCCTTCCAGGGGATCTGATGGTCCCCGGGTTGGGGAACCACTGCTCTCCTAGCCATTCCCCAGTAGACATTTCACATACATTTCAGAATATTCCGAGCTCCAGCTTAGTGTTTCCGTGGACGGCAACGCTGTGCTCTTGGTTTTATCTCCAGAGTCTTCCCTCTCTTCTCCTGAATTCTGAGTTATTCGATCTATACTGCTGAAGACCTGGAAGGCAAAGAATCGATGTGTGTTAATAAATTCTTGAAACGGCTTGTCAGAAGGAAAAAAAAAATCATTGAAGGAAAACCTGAAAAGGTAACTCAAGTTTGAATTGGGGGCATGGACAGAGAGGGAGCATTCCCGGCTGTTGACTCAAGGCCAGAGATGAAGCGTCAATGGATAATTCTTTCTTTCTTTCGTTTTTTTTTTTTCTCTGAGTGGGAGCAATGAATTCATCATCCTCTCTCACCGCATCACAGCACGGACCTTGTACCTGCAAACAAAATCTATAGATGCATTGGGGGTTTTAAGCCTGGGGATCAATGTATGTCTTAGATTACTTTTTAACCATAAAGTCAATCAAAAAAGAAAATCACAGAGAAAAAGATTTAATGGCCTCCAGTCAGGGGTGGGGAGGAGGAAAAATGAAGTGGAATTGACTGTGAAGAGAAGAATAAATTACCTGTTTGGAGACTGAGGAGAGAAACGATAACACACACATGGCCATACAAAGCCAGATGCAGGTGCTTGGCTTGCAAATCACATACCCAGCCAGAAGGCTGTGTGCTATGCGGGGGCTGGGCATCCTGAAAGGGATCAGTGCTCAGGTAAACCAGGGTGCTCAGCTAACTGCTGGGTTCCTCTCATTCCCCAGGAAAGCCAAACTGGAAATGGTAAACCAGGGTGGAGGTGTGCAGGAAGCACTCCCTAACTTCCTTCTCAGCCATTTGCTAATCTCGAGGGAATCACTTTAACCCAAAGACCCACTGCTGTCAAGTGGATTCCTACCCCTGGAGAAGCGATGGCACAGAAGAGGGGCTGAACCATAGACCGTCCGGCTAGCAGCTGAGCACCTACCCTCTGGGCCAGCAGGGATCCCTGGCAATGGCCTTTAGACCTCCTCTCAGGAAGATGCTTCAGGTCTTCCACAACTAGCTGGGAGATCTGAAGCCACAGAGACACAAGCTAGGCTTGGTCAGCTACTTCTGGAAAAGCCTGTGGAGGACTGTGAACAGCCTTGCTAATGTGCAGAATGCATCGGAGAGAGGATTGTTGCAGATGCAGTTAGCTTAAAATTCATCACCGTGCCACTTGCTCTTGCTCATGATCCATTTAAATTTGTTCTAGTTTTCACTATTTTCTGCTTTCCTTTTGATTGGGTTTCTTTATCTGTTTTACTCTGTTATTCTTGGGGAGGTTTTTGGATACTTTTCTGTATAAGGAATTCGGGATGGTAACAGAGACAGTAACTGGATGAATGGTTGCTTGGGGGTATGGCAGGGGAGCTTGAGGGGGAAAAGGGGAGCGAATAACAAGGAGAACAAGATGGAAGAAAATGTTCTAAAACTGACTGTGTTGATGATTCTACAACTCTTCTTGATGTGGCTGAACCATTGAATTGTATGTTATATGAATTATATGCCAAGAAAACTGTTGGGGAAAAGAAGGAAGGAAGGAAGGAAGGAAAGAAAGAAAGAAGAAAGGAAGGAAGGAGGGAGGGAGGAAGCATTTCTACTGGATACACCTCTGGGTCACCATGAGTCAGAATCTACTTGATGGCATCCAATAATAAAGCAATTGTCCCAAGCTGGGGACTTGGATTCTGAGTAGGGTAGCTATAGAATAGCAAGGGAAAATAAAACACTATTCAAACCACTCAAAAACAGAGCAATTCTGGGGGAGATTGGCTTTGATGGGTCAGAGGTAGGTGCTGGGCTAAGCCCCACTTAGTGTCCTCAAAGCTTCTGTCTTGGCTCCAGGAGAGACTGGCCACCACCATGCCTAGCTCTCCAAGTCCTTCCTGTAAACTGGGATGTAGTGCCGATCAACTCTGCAGATACACTCCAGGCAGCCCCTTTGAAAAAGCTATATAGAACATACTTTGGATTCACTAAATGTGAGAGAGAAGCTCAACAATCAGCATACAAAATACCATGGCAACAGAATGTATGCAGTTACTGGAAATAGCCAAGGGAGGTAGAGGGACTGTCTGGGCTCATTCCCAGTATTCTAGGGCCCTGCCCTGTCTCAGGACTTTAGCATGTTGTTGCTGCTGCTTATTTTTCATCTTATCACTCTCCACGGGGGAGAGAGGGGCAGGGATGAGAGCCTCTATTTCAAGTAACAATTTCATTTTCTTCTACTGTTTGCAACACTCTACCTGGGTTCCCTATCGCCTCTTGAATCCTTCAAAGAACACCTTCTAGGACTGGAGACAGGACGTTTCCATTCCAGGTCAACTGTCCCCAAGTACCTTTGCTATGTCAAGGGGGACGCCTTCTCCATGGTATAGTACCGAGTGGGGACTCTGCACACCTTCCGGGGTCCTGTCAGTGCTGTCGCACAGTCCAAAGAGGTGGCCCTGGGGGCAGGTCTATGCCTTCAAGAAAATACCAAACAAACCACACTCGCTGCCATCAAGTCTGAGCCGACTCATAGCAACCCCAGAGGATAGGGTAGAACTGCTCACAGCGACCCTACAGGATAGGGTAGAACTGCTCACAGCAACCCTATAGGATAGAGTAGAACTGCTCACACAGACCCTATAGGATAGAGTAGAACTGCTCATAGCGACCCTGTAGTATAGGGTAGAACTGCCCCTGTTTCCGAGTTTCAGAGACTGGAACTCTTTATGGGATTTGAAAGCCGCATCTTTCATCCATGGGCTGCCAGGTGGTTTCAAACTGCTGACCTTGCAGTCAGTAGCTCAAGGCATAACCCCGATGCGTCAGAAAAAATTTGTGGTGAGTGAAACTGAGAAATGCATGTGTGAGGACTTGGGTTGCAATATCGAGACTGCCTGGGGAAGGGGGGAGGGGTCCCCTTTCCTAAAATGGGAAAGAATTTTAAAAGCACAGAAGGACCCAACACCCAAGAAGGAGAGTCCTCAATCGACGGACCAGCCAGTGGGAGACTCCACAATTTATGTCAAATTCCCCCTTACCTTTGAAAACCGATGGGAACATGAGGAAAACTGCCTTATTTCCACGGTGAAGTCTTCATCATTTGTATCGTCTTCCTCCTCGGTCTCCATGTGGTGATACTTCTCGGAGCGAGCTGCGGAGAAAGGCGTGCCGTTAGGTCAGCAGGTCCCTTCCCCGTGGCACCAGCCCAAAGCCGGTTTCTCTCTCGAATAAGCACGACTCAGAAGCATGCAGGGGGGCGTAGAGCCCGCAGGGAAGGGTCCCTTCTACCAAGGCCCACTGAGCAGGTGGAGGTGAGGTTACACACATACTATCAAAGTAACTGGTGTCATCCTCGGATTCCAGCTGAGGGATGAATTCTGCCTTCTGCCTCAGCAAACTGTTCCAGTCCAAGGATCGGAAGAAGCGATGCTGTTTCACTTCGTAGGCACCACCTAGTGAGCAAAGAGGCGAGCGGTAAACGCTATATCCGGGTGTAGGAGCGCCTGGTAGAGCATCCCCGGCGAAATAGAAAACCGTTCCAAATGCACTTTTTGCATTTTACAACCAAGCCCCCAAGCCCCACCCCCTGCAACCCGTAGTTTTTGTTAATAGCAGTTGTGATGGCCCAGTTTTTCTTAGTTAAGGTTTCCATGACTTTCTCCATTTCTCAAAGGTTAATGATACGGCCGCTTAAAATCCCATTATGCTGAACCCGGGGACGTGGACGCCCTCTGGCCCCAAACAGACTCACTCTCGTTAAAGCCCAAAGAGATTCTAACAAGGTGCAGAATGTGTTCCCAGCACTATTTCCTCTAGAGGTCGGGTTAATAATGATGGATTTTCCCAAAATACTGTGTAATGGTGACGACTCGATTTTATTGGATTGCTCATTAGCATAGGTAGGCATGAGAGTCTGTGAGTTACAGATGCTTAAATAAAAATGACCCAAATAGACTTATAATGTATCTTAGGAAAACTCAGCACAATCCTTAAGTTTTGTGGAGTCGGCATGACAGCACAGCTCTGTGAAATAATGCCCTCGATTCCATCTCCCTCCAGAAACGCTCAGAAGAAAGGCCTGGGGATCCCCTGCCCAAAGGTCCCCCACCCAGAAAACCCCAGAAACAGCAGCTCTACGCTCACGCGTCTGAGGCCATCCTGAGTCAGAACTAACTCGGTACTGGCTAGACTGGGCTGTTTGTTTGTTCTTGTTAGGGTTTCAGAGGGTGCTTTGGGGGGCAGTGATTATGCACTGCGCAGCTGAGCTCAGGGTCAGCAGTTTGAGACCCAGGAAGATGAGCCTGGGTCTTCCTGTCACGAGTTAGCCTGGGAAACCCACGGGGGCAGCTTTACCCTGTCCTATAGGGTTGCTATGAGTTGGGATTGACTTGATGGCAGTGAGGGATGTGTTTTTTGGTTGCGGGTCACAGTAAAAATGTTCACGTCACACTCCATGTAAAGACGACAGTATACGTGCTATGAAATCATGGCCCGAGCGGCAGACCCTCTGCTGCCCTAGCACACATGCCATTGATGGGGAGACAGCCAAGACCCCTCCCACTGCTGCCCTAGCACACATGCCATTGATGGGGCGACAGCCAAGACCCCTCCCACTGCTGCCCTAGCACACATGCCATTGATGGGGCGACAGCCAAGACCCCTCCCGCTGAAACGTAGGCTGAGATTCCTGAGCATCCCCGCTGCGGAGAATGGTCAGACGCTCCTCTAGGCGTAACGTAAATGTCTCTCTGCTGCCATTGTTACCCCGACTCTCATCCTGTCCCCTGGGGGCTACAAACGGAAGTGCCAGCTGAATGAACAATGGCCTGTGGCTCCTAGTAAGGGGGTGGGGGTACTAATGTCCATATAGGTCAAAGCTTGGCCCTTTGGGTCCCTCTAGCACAGCGGTTCTCATCCTGTGGGTCACGGGCCCTTTGGGGGTGGTACGACCCTTTCACAGGGGTCGCCTGGTCCATAACAGTAGCAAAATTAAAGTTATGAAGTAACAATGAAAATAATGTTAAGCCTGGGGAGGGGGGGGTCACCACAACATGAGGAACTGTATTAAAGGGTCGCAGCACAACGAAGGTTGAGAACCACTGGACTAGCACAAGGTGTCCCTTCTGTTCCGGCTCTAAACCCAGCTGGGGGACTCGGTGCTCTGAAGACAACAACAACAAAAATGGAATGGAAGGCGTCTCACTCACCAAGCATTTGACTGGAACCTGTATCTGATCCAGGATTCCATGAAGACTTTTTCCAGGAGTGCAGAGCAAATGTTTTGAGAATGATGAGGGCAATGAATGCACAAATGTGCTTTACACAATTGATTTATATATGGATTGTGATAAGAGTTGTATGCACCCCTAATAAAACGATTTTTAAAAAAAGACTAAAAACCAACCGTACTGCCTGTAACTCGATGCCGACTCACAGCGACCCTGTAGGACAGGGCAGAGCTGCCCCTGGGAGTTTCCGAGACTGTAACTGTTCACAGGAGTAGAAAGCCCCGCCTTTCTCCCATGGAGCAACTGGTGGCTTCGAACTGCTGACTTGGCAGTTAGCAGCCCAGTGCCTACGCCACTAAGCCACCAGGGATCCTTTTAGCATAGTGTAATGTTATACCACACTGGCTGATAACATAGTCTGAAGTCTAATGTTAAACACAACCATGATCACCCTAGGTATTGCCCTAGGTGCCATAGGTATCCTGATTCCTTTCATGAAAATGACTTCACAAAGTAGATGACATCAATGTCATCTTCAGCTGGGGAAAACATGGATATGAAAAAGGGTACTTTGGACTCCAGTCACGCAGAGAATAAGGATTGGAGCGGCTGCACTTATGTCTGTCTAATAACATCCCCACACAGCACCCCAGCTATTGTGAGGTGCTGTCCACTTGTTCCAACTCATGGTGATCCTCTGCATCAAGTAACTCAACCCTCTCTGGTCCTGCCCAGCCTCACAACGGTTGCCTGGTTTGGCCCATTGTTACCACCACAGTGTCAATCCATCTCACTGCCGGTTTTCCCAGTGTGGACTGAGCCGGTACTTGACCAAGAATGATGTCTTTCTCCAGGGACAAGTCCCTCCTGATAACATTTCTAAAGTAGGTGACCCGAAGTCTTGGCATCCTAACTTCTACAGGCTTTTCGACTGGATTTTTTCAAGAGAGATGTGTTTGTTCTTCTGGCACAAGTTCATGGCACACTCAGTATGTACCTTTGCCAACACCACAATTCAAAGGAGTCAAAGGTCTTCCTTTCTCATTGACCCACCTTTCTCACGCATGTCAGGGGAGTGAAAATACCAAGGTTTGGGAGCTTGCACCTTAGTCCTCAAAGGGCATCTTTGTTCTGTAACACTTTAAAGGGGCCTTCTATAGCAGATTTTCCCAATAAAATAGATCACTTGATTTTTTTTTTTGTCTGACTGCTGCTTCCATGGGCATTGACTGAAGAGCCAAGTGAAATGAAATCTTGGACAATTTCGATCTTTGCTTCAGCTATTTTGCCATTAATCGCTGGTCATCGTGTGAGGGATTTTGTTTTCCTCATGTTGAGGTGCAATCCTTACTGAAGGCTGTAATCTTTGATCTTCGTTAGGAAGCACTTCCAGTCCTCTTCCCTTCCTGGAAGAAAGGTTGTGAACTTGGCATATTGCAGATTGCTAATGAATCTTCCTCCAAACTCGACTTGGTGTTCTTCTTCATACAGTACAGCTTCTGAGGGGATTTGCCCAGCATACGAACTGATTAAGTATGGATAAAAGATATGACCCTCAAGCACATCTTTCTGTTTATAACTATATGGAATGTTATTTGTTCTGTTTGAATAACTGAGATGAAAATTTTGACATGTGCAAATGAAGCATCCTGAAATTCGCATTCTTTGCAATGTTATTCATTGTATGTGATCTAACCAATTGAATGCCTTTGCAGAGTCAATAAAATACAAGTAAACGTCCTTTCACCAAGATATCTCACATCAGCAATGACATATCTCGTTCAATACTCTTTTTAATCGAGGTTGAATATCTACCAGTTATTGTGGATGGACAACTGCAGCAGTTTTAAAGTCTACTTTAAATGTAGACTTGTCTACAGATGTCTACTTTTGTGTGACACTAATGATATTGTTCATTAATTTCTGCATTCTGTTGGATCACCTTTCTTTAGAATAGACATGCATATAGATATGTTCCAGTCAGTTGGCTAGGCTTCCAATTCTTGGCACACCTGACTAAGTACTTCTAGAGCTACAACTGGGTATGGGATCATTGAAAGTGGAAATCCATCAATTACCTCGAGACTTGTATTTTACCATTTCTTTCAGTGCAGCCTGTACATATTCCTTCAATACCATCGGTTCTTTATATTATGCTACCTTTCCTAAAATGGTTAAATGTTAACCAATTATTTTCTGGTGCAGTGACTCTATGCTTTCCTTCCAATTTCTTTTGACGCTTCCTCAACATTGTAACTTGAGGCTTGAATGTTTCCTTCAGGTCTTTCAACTTGAGAAATGCCAGTGTGCTATCCTTTTTGGTTTTCTAACACCGGGTCTCTGCAGATTTCCCGATAATACTTGATCCCTTCTCGAGCTGCTCTTTGAAATCTCCTATTCTGATAGTCTACTTCATCATTTCTTCTACTTGCTTCAGCTAGTCTTCACTCCAGAGTAAGTTTCAGAGTAGTTTATGGCATTCATTTTGGCCTTTCTTTTTTATTACCCTTTATTTCTTCATGTCTGATGTCCGTGATGTCATCCTATAATGCGTCTCATCTTTGGTCAGCACTGGTCAACACATCAACTTTATTCCTGAGGAAGTCTCTAAGTTCTGGTTGGATACACTTTAGGTACTGCTTTGACTCGTAATTTTCTTTTTATTCCTTGCTGGCTCATAATTTTCTTCAGATCGGTTTGAATTTACACATGAGCAGTTCACGACTATTTCACAGGTGGTCCCTCAATGTGCTGTGATGAAAAATCTCCACCTTCCCCATTCTCCTGTTTTACATATTGTTATGAGTTGCTAACGAGCTGGTTCTGAGCCACAGCAACATGATGCACAGCAGAACAAAACACTGCTTGGCCCTGTACCATCCTCACATCCTCACCATTGTTCCTGTGCCAGGGCCGATTGTTGCAGCCACTGTGCCAGTCCGTCTCCCCGAGGATCTTCCCCTTTCCACTGTCCTCCGACTGCACCACACACGATGTCCTTCTCCAGGGACGGGCTCTCTCCTGACAGCATCTGCAAAGTACCTAACACAACTTCTCACCATCCTTGCCTCTAAAGACCTCTGGCTGCACTTCTTCCAAGACACATTTGTTTGTCCTTTTGGCAGTTCATGGTACTTTTAATATTCTTCTCCAGCACCATGATTCAAATGCACCAATTCTTCGGCTGACTTCTTTATTCAGTTCCTAACTTTCACACGTATACG